GCGGCAGGAAAGGGGCTGCCAGAACCCTCCCTTCTCCTTCGTGTCTTCTCGCTGCTGCGGTTTTGAGGATGGGGAGTCCCCTTCCTCCCTTCCCTGGGTTTGTGGCAATAAGAGGATGGTGATCAGGAGAGCATGCAGGTTGGGCTTTACAGCCCCCACAGATCTGAAGGGCTCTTTCCTGTGCTCTCATTTACCCTGATTTTACTGAGAAGCAAGATAATCAGGCAAGACCAAGTTCATTGCTCCAGACGAGGTCCAACGGGGGCCTGAGACACTCTGGTTTTTCCCAGGCTCTGTGCTTTCCCCAAGCTCAGCGGCCATTTAACCTCAATCTAAGGAGTACTCAGAACCCACCCCTCAAAAACCAGGGAGAAGGAGTAACTATGAACAAGCAGGAGCCCTGTTGATATGCTTTAAGGTCTCTTTAAAGGTAGCTTTACGCATTAATAATCAAAATGGAACAGGCACACATCTGTCATAAAAAATGCAAAGTAAAATCCTTTTAGTATCCAATATATTTAATAACTTAATGTAGATCCATTTATTTCTTTGATTTTTTTCCTATTATGTAAAAGAACAAGAGAAAATTAATCAGTTTAAAGTTAGTGAATATATGATCTATTTAAAAATGTTTAAAGTCTCAAAATTAGGCAATTATGGAACATTAAAGCATTTTGGATAAATGCTGTTTTGTCAGGCTACTTCTTTCCTTTTAATTTCAGGCTTACAAATCTTATAAAAATTTTTAATTTTAAAAAATAATTTTTCCTAAGTATTCACTGAAGAAAATTTTTGAAAAATCAGGAAAAGCAGAAAGAAAACATTTGATCCTAACTTCAGAAAGGCAAATTTTTAACTTTAGTGAATTTTCTTCCGGCCTATTTAAGGTAACATTGTAACTACTCTCTATACAGCATTTTGATTGATTCCTACTTAATATCATACCAAAATTTCCCCCATGTCACTAGAATTCCTTGTAAACATCATTTTTTATTTTTATTTACGTTTTCATCAAAGTGCTTCTAATATTCAGTAAGTACACAAATATTTTTAAATTATTTATTTATTTGAGAATCACAGAGACAGATGGACAAGAAGAGACGGACAGAGAGAGCTGGTTCCCAAGTGCTCCATCATTCCCCAGATGCCAGCAATGGCCCTGGCTGGAGCCGAAGTCAGCAGTTGGGAACTCCATTCAGGTTTCCCGGAAACTCAATCACTTGAACCATTACTTGCTACCTCACAGGGTCTGCGCTAGCAGCAAGCTGGAGTCAGGAGTCAGAGCTGGGAATTGAACCCAGGAACCACGATATGACACATGGGCATCTTAACCAATGCCTTAACCATGAGGTCAAATGCCTGCCACCATCAATCTTGCGTGCACAGATTTATGAACTCCGACATGTATGTACACTAATGGAATGAATGCCATCCAGATCTATTTAAAAAAAAATCCCAGGACTTTAGAAGGCTTCTTTTTGCCATCTTCAGTTTTACCTGTTCTTGAGCTGGTTTTAAATGGAGTCACATTGGGGCCAGCGCTGTGGCACAGCGGGTAAAGCTACTGCTTGCAGTTCTGGCATCCCATATGGGCACCAGTTTGAGTCTCGGCTACTCCACTTCTAATCCAGCTCTCTGCTATGGCCTGGGAAAGCAGTAGTAGATGGCCCAAGTCCTTGGGCCTCTGCACCCACGTGGAAGACCCAGAAGCAGCTCCTGGCTCCTGGCTTCGAATCAGCACAGCTCCGGCTGTTGCGGCCAATTGGGGAGTGAACCATTGGATGGAAGACATCTCTCTCTCTCTCTCTGTCTCTCCTTCTCTCTCTCTCTCTCTGCCTCTCTCTCTCTCTCTCTGTAACTCTGACTTCCAAATAAATAAAATCTTTTTAAAAATGGTGTTTATAGTGTTCCTTGCAGGAAGAGATAAATCATTTATTCATTCTACTAAAGATGGATCCAATTTGAGGCTATTGTGAATAAAGATACTATGAACATTCCTATACTGCCTCTTTTGGACATAAACACCCATTTCTCTTGGATATATATCCAGGAGTAGAATTGCTACATCATATGAAAAATATATGTTTAGCTGTCGCTCCCCCTCTTCGTGGAGGAACGACACAGGACCCTGCGCTGTTCTTTCGTCTGCTCGGCCCTCCCCGGGTTTGCTGCTGGTTCTTCCCGGGTTGGCTACTATCCCTTCCACCTCCGTGGAAGGGCAGTTCCCCCTGGCCGCATTCCCCACTTCCGCAGGGGAGCGGCACACCGCCGGCCGGTTCTCTCGGGGGCTGCACGGGTTCCCTTAGATGTTCCCCATAGATGTTCCTGGTGCATGCCGTCTCTCTCCTCCTTTATAGTCCTCCTCTGCCAATCCCAACTCGGCTGCCCACATGCCGAGTACGCTGCTCTCCAATCAGGAGCAGGTCCTACAGTTTATTGGTTGAACTGGAGGCAGCTGTGCGGAAGCTGTTTACTTCTCTCCCAGCGCCATATTGTGGGAGAGCAGATGCATAGAATAAGTCTTAATTCCAGTAACTCAGTCTAGTCCGCCCTGCTCCCCACAGATCCCCCTTTCTTTTTATTTTTTGGCGTTGATACGCGCCTGTCTTCGGTGTCCCGCGGCACACACTCTGCTCTACTTGCTAGAGTTGCCACAGGCTCTTACAAGTCCTATCCATCAGGCAAACCGAATCCGGGTCCTCTCTTCGCCATGTTGTGAGGAGGTTTTTAGGCGCTGATGCGTGCCTGTGTTCGGTGCCCTGCAGCGCATGCTCTGCTCTGCCTGCAGGGGCTTACAAGCTCCATCAGGCAAACCGAATCCAAGCCTTCTCATTGCCTTTTTGTGGGGAGGCCTTACTGATGTTAATTCGTGCCTGTCTTCGGTGACCTGTGGCGCATAAGCTGCTAGCCGCCCAGGTGCTCATCGCCTCACTTAATCAGGCAGACCGAATCCAAGCTTTCTCATTGCCATGTTGAGGGGAGGCCTTTCTATTTCTCTATCTCCGGGCATTCCTATTTCTCCCATTTTACTTCTATCTTCCAGCATTCCTATTTCTCTCACTTTGCTTCTAAACTTCTGTTTCTCTTATCCCTGCGGCTTTCCGGCACCTCGCCCCGCCGGCGGGTTCCCGGCTCTGCGCCGCTTCAGCCCGCGCGCCTCTCTCATCTGCGCAGCTTCCCGGCTTTGCAGGGCTCGGCTTCGCGCGCTCCGCGGTCTCCACGCTTAACCCTTTCGTGTCTGAACCACAGCCTACGCCAGCCCCGTTCCCTATCTATTCACGCCCCGTGCTCTCTGCACGCGGCGGCTTCCGCGAGTAACACAGCGTAGCTTACGTGTCCGCCACTAGCATTCAATCTAAGTTCCCCGGGCTAGCCTGGCGAATTCAACCCAGCGTACGTCTCCGCCCCACGGTTTGGCTTCCCGTCCTTTGCTCCCCGGGCTAATCAGACAGATCCCAACCAGGCTCACGTTTCAGCTTCTGGTTTCAACTTTTCGCCCCCTATTCCCGGGCTAACTTGAGAATCCCAAAGTGGCTTTCGTGTCCGCCTTGGCCTGCCCCCCGCGGCTTCAATTTCCCTAACATTTTTCTCTACCCGGTATGTTTCCCCAAGCTTTCCTCCAACGATATTCCTCCCTCATTTCTCCTGGCCTCTCCCCACAGTCCGCGTCCGAGTCTGTTTGTTCTAGCTTTCACTTTCGCTTTTGACCTTAGAGATTTCTCCCAGCTTCCCCCCGTAGTCCGTATCTGAGTCTATGCCTAGGCTTTCAATAGCTCCTTCCGGCTCCTTTTTCGTCCGGCTTTTCCCTAGGCTGTTTGCTAGTCTCTCTCTCCGATATTTTCCCTAGTTCTTCCCGTTTCTTCCCTCCTACGTTTCATATCCGTCCTAAGTTTCCTATCCGAGTCACGGCACCATTATGTCGCTCCCCCTCTTCGTGGAGGAGCAACACAGGACCCTGCGCTGTTCTTTCGTCTGCTCGGCCCTCCCCGGGTTTGCTGCTGGTTCTTCCCGGGTTGGCTACTATCCCTTCCACCTCCGTGGAAGGGCAGTTCCCCCTGGCCGCATTCCCCACTTCCGCAGGGGAGCGGCACACCGCCGGCCGGTTCTCTCGGGGGCTGCACGGGTTCCCTTAGATGTTCCCCATAGATGTTCCTGGTGCATGCCGTCTCTCTCCTCCTTTATAGTCCTCCTCCGCCAATCCCAACTCGGCTGCCCACACGCCGAGTACGCTGCTCTCCAATCAGGAGCAGGTCCTACAGTTTATTGGTTGAACTGGAGGCAGCTGTGCGGAAGCTGTTTACTTCTCTCCCAGCGCCATATTGTGGGAGAGCAGATGCATAGAATAAGTCTTAATTCCAGTAACTCAGTCTAGTCCGCCCTGCTCCCCACATTTAGCTTTGGTTGATATTGCCAAACTGTTCTGCAAATTGGCATAGCAAGTTAACCTTCACCAGCATCATTTGAGTTTCAGTTATTCACATTCTCAACAACACTTGGTATTATCCATCTTTTCATTTTAATCATTCTCCTGATAGTGTCATTGTTGCTCAGTGTAGTTTTGATTCTAATTTCCTTGGCTACTATTGATGTTTTTCATTTAGATATCTTAGTGTGAAATGACCGTGGAAATCTTGCCGTTACTTTCCATTGTGTTGTCTGCTCTTTTTTATTGATTTATAGGAGTTCTTTATTATATCTCAGGTACAAAGTCTCCTATTCTGTAGTTTGCATTTTCACTCTCTTAATGGTGTCTTTTGATGAATAATAGTTCTTAATTTTAATGAAGTCCAATATATCCATCTTTTCTTTTCTGTTGAGCTTTCATGTCTCATGGAGAACAATCTGTCTACAATATCATGGAGATATTCTCCTAAAACATCATTTTCAATAACTGCATAATAATTTATTTCAGAATTCACCACATGTCTATTATTAGATACTTAGAGTGTGCCCTATTTTCCTTTACTGTAAATAGTAACTTAAAAAATTTATGACTAATACCTAACCCAGATCCAAGAAGCATGGAGATAGCTGGATACATTCCGAAGGGGGAGACAACAATACCCCACACGCTCAGTGTATCATATTCAAATTCCCGAAGCAAAAGCAAACAGGAGATCTGGAAGGTAATCAAAGTGAAAAGAAGCATTATATACAGAGAACAAAAGTGAGGATGACTGTAGGCTGGAGGAAGGGTGCGGTGAGAAGGACCACTATGCTCCTAAATCTGTATATATGAAGAACAGGAAATTTGTTTGCCTCATATAAATAAAAAAACTTTTTAAATTTTTTAAAAAAGAATTATTGTAGACTACTCATGAGAAAATAAGAAGATAACTGGGTGACGTAGATGGGCCGGCATTGTGGCACAGCAGGCTAAGTTGCCTCTGCAGTTCGGGCATCCCATGGGAGCTTGAGTCCCTGCTGGGAAAGCAGCAGAAGTGGGAGATGGGATGGAGTTTCAGGCTTCTGGCTTCAGCCTTGGGCAGCCCTAGCTGTGGCGCTCTCTCTCTCTCTCTCTGTGTGTGTGTGTGTGTGTGTGTGTGTAACTCTGCCTTTCAAATAAATAAGGTATATCTGTTTTAAAAAGTGCTAAAAGTATGGGGCTGGAGCTGTAGCGTAGTAGGTTAAGCCTTTGCTTATGGCGCCAGCATCCTATATGAGCATCAGTTCAAGTCATAGCTGCTCCACTTCTGATCCAGCTTGCTGCTACTGACCTGGGAAGGCAGTGGAAAATGGCCCAAGTGCTTGAGCCCCTGCACCCACATGGAAAGACCCAGAAGAAGCTCCTGGCTCCTGGCTTCGGATTGGCCCAGCTCTGGCCATTGTGGCCATTTGAGGGGTGAATCAGCGGATGGAAGACTTTCTCTCTTTCTCTCTCTACCTCTGCATCTCTGTAACTCTGCCTTTCAAATAAATAAATAAATCTTTTTTTAAAAAAAGTGCTAAACGTAAAAGATTTCAATCTAGAATCCTATGCCCAGCAAGAAAAAAGGGAGAATGAAATACTTTATCAGTCAAACACTGAGGAAATTCATATCCAGCAGAACCATTTTACTAGAAATACTAGAGTATTTAGTATTTGTTCAGGTAAAAAAATACATATATATGTGTGTGTATATATATACATACATATAAATCAGACTGAAACTTAGATCTACACAAACAGATTTTGAAAACTAGAAATGGAATCAATTAATGTAAATAACGATTTTTTCTTATTTTTAATTGCTCTAAGAAGTAACTGACTCCTATTGCAAAATAGTAGCAATGTAGCACATGCTTCAGGCATATGCTAAAGTTATTATGATAATAGAACAAAGGGTAGGAGGAAGAAATTGAGAATACACAGTTGTAAAGCCATGTGAAATGCCATATTACTATTTCAAAGTAAACTTTAATTAAAAATGTATATTTTATATCCTAAGGCAACTGTGAAAAAATTTAAAGAAGTATACATAATAATTCTAGAAGGAATATCAAAAAGAACAATAAAAATTATCAAATAACCAAAGAGAAGGCAGAGAAAGGGAGAAAAGGATCAAGGAACAGGTAGAAGAAAGAACAATCAGCAAGGGTGCAGATTTAATTCAATCATCAATAATCACATTAAATGTGCTCCAGTGGAGAAAGATATAACATGCAAAAACTAACCAGAGGAAAGCTGGAGTAATTATGTTAATCTCAGAGAATAGAAACTCCAGAACAAAGAACAAAGAGATAAAGGGATAAAGAACAATATTGCATACTGATAAATGAACACACACCAAACAAAATCTGTTGGAACTGAACGAATAAATAGAGAAATTCCCAATTATGGAAGAGACTTCAACATTCCTTTCTTGACAGCTGGCTGGACCAGCAGAAGTAGGCAAAAACTCAAGTGCAGATGAGAAAGGTCTGAACAATGCACTCAGCCACGTCTTCTCTGAGATGTCATGAGAACAGCTCTCAGGGTCTTCACTTGTTGAGCTGGGCATCTGGTGGGCCACAGTGTTGGGAGATTCTACATTATTTCTTTGGTAATTCCTTCCCTTCTGCTTTTATGAAATTCCTATTAGATGCTGGATTCTTAAATCTCTAATTTCTTCTTTTTATTATTGTTCCTACCTTCCTTAATTCTGTGTCTTCATCTTCTTAATCTACATTCTGGGAGTTTTTTTTTTTTTTTTAACTCCACCTTTTACTTGTTCTGTTGGATTTTAAATAACAGTTACATCATATTTTAGTTTTCCAAATGCTCTTTCTTGTTTGCCAATTATTTCCTTTTTCAGAGACTCTTTTAAAAAATGTTTTAAAGAAGCATTTATTTATTTATTTGAAAGTCAGAGCATCAGAGACAGAGGAAGACAGAGAGGGAGATCTTCCATCCTGTGGTTCACTACCCAAATGTCCACAACCACGAGAGATCGTCCAGGCCAAAGCAAGGAGCCAAGAACTCCACCCCGGTCTCCCATGCGGGTGGAAGGAACCCCAGTACTTGAGCCAGCACCTGCTGCCTTCCAGGATGCACATCAACAGAAAGCTGGATTGGAAGCATAAACCAGGACTCAAACCAGGACTGTGATACGGGATTTAGGCGTCCCAAGCTGCAGCTTAACTGCTGAACCAAACGCTCGCGTTTCCATCTTCACTTTGCAGCACAGAGAGGCTGAACGCATTGCTCAAGGTCACGTGTGCTTATAAAGCCCTGCTGTCACCAGCACCCGAATCTGCCTCTGGCTGTGGTCTTACCGCATTCCTCTCACTGCCCTTCCTCTGTCTCCTTTACTGGATCTTCTCTGAGCTCCTGTCTCTTTTTTAATTATATTTTTAAATCTTTTCATATAGACAGAGATTTCATAAACTTCACAGACACAATTCTAAGAATATAATACTTTCCACTTTCCCCCTTTTTTTAAAAAAATATTTTGCAGTAACACACTCAATTTGCTTTCTAATCACAGGCTTAATGCTCCTCTAAAGAAAGAGTTCTGCGGGTAAGAAGCAGAGAGCCCACTGTTCCTCAGGAATACAGACAAGGGCTATAAAACGACTCAAAGCACAAGATGTCAATTTCGCTCATATACATTATTATGGGGTTTTTGGGTACTGTGTATATTAGCTACTACGAATCAGAGAAAACATGATACTTGTCTATTTGGGTTACAGATTTTTGTTTCAATTTTCTATCCTTCCTTCATTGTCTCTGTTTTCTCCAAGTTCCATCTGCCTCTCTCTCCTGTTTTTTTTTTTTTTTTAAAGATTTATTTATTTATTTATTTATTTAAGAGAGAGAGAGAGAGAGAGAGAGAGAGAAAGGTCCTCCATCTGCTGGTTCACTCCCCAGATGACCCAAACAGCTGGAGCTGGGTTGATCTGAAGCCAGGAGCCAGGAGTTCCACCCAGGTCTCCCACTCAGGTGCAGGGGCCCAAGTGCTTGGGCTATCTTCTACGGCTTTCCCAGGCCATAAGCAGAGGGCTGTATTAGAACAGGAACACCCAAGACATTAACTGGTGCCCAAATGGAATGCCAGTGCCACAAGCGGTTGCTTAGCCTACTATGCCATAGCGCTGGCTCCTCATAATTTTTTATTATCTGATTTTTCATGTTGAGGCTTTTCTTCATTATCTCATCATCTTGATTGGAAGGAACTTCTTTATATGTAAGTGGCAGCTTCAAGAGTATGTGAAAGGATGGGTTTTTCTTTAAAATGCTGGAGTCCTTTCTGTGGGTTCTTCTTAAAGTGAGTTTTAATCCATCTTTCTTTTGTTAGGGCCCTTCAGAGACTATCAATAAACAGAAGGGGAGCCGGCCTTCTGGCACAGGGGGTTTAGCTGCTGCCTGCGATGCCGGCATCCCATATCAGAGTGCCAATTGAGTCCCGGCTATTCTGCTTCCTGGTCCAGCTCTGTGCTAACCTGCCTGGGAAGCAGTGGATGATGGCCCAAGTGCTTGAGTCCCTGCCACTCATGCAGAACACTTGGATGGAGTTCCTGACTTCCGACTTCAGCCTGGCACAGACCTGCTGTTGCCCACATGTGGGGAGTGAACCAGCAGATGAAAGATCTCCTTGACTGTCTCTTGCAAGCCCAGTCACTCTAACTTCCAAATAAAGATGTTAAGAAAAAAAAAAAATGGGATGCAGGGAGGTATTAAATGTCTGGTCACCTGTGTTGTAGACAGGATAGGAGGAAAGGGTGGATATCGCACAGTTCATTGATATTCACTTATTTGTTTTTAATTGTTTTATTTATTTAAGAGAGAGACAGAGCGCTTCCATCTGCTGGTTTGCTCAAACACCTGCTACAATTGAGGCTGGAAAGGGACCAAGGCTGGGAGCTGGGAACTCAATTCAGGTCTCCCGCATGGGTGGCTGAAGCCCAATTACTTAAGCCATCACCACTGCTTCCCATGGTCTGTGCCAACAGGAAGCTGAAGTCAGGAGCCAGAGCCCCAGACGTCACACCGAGATATTCCACTGTGTGATGCTAGTGTCTCAACCTGTATCTTAATCTCTAGGCCAAATGCCTGCCCCTACTTTCACTTAACTTTCCCTGTTGCTGAGGCCACCAATGCACCTGTATCCCTGCATCTGTGCCTTAGCACTTGTCAAGACTAACAACATAGCTTGTGGAGCCCAGTGGAAACTGAAAAAGCAGAGTGCCTTATGATGGCAGAGCATTAACCCATAAGTCACACACATGTAAAGCAAGCCATCCAGTGTGCTTGCACACAGGAATAGCCTCCCTGTGTCCTGTGGAGGGGGCTGGTGGCCTGGTGGAGGATGAGGTTCTTATAAGAAGAATTCACGGCCGGCGCCGCGGCTCACTAGGCTAATCCTCCGCCTAGCGGTGCCGGCACACCGGGTTCTAGTCCCGGTCGGGGCGCCGGATTCTGTCCCGGTTGCCCCTCTTCCAGGCCAGCCCTCTGCTGTGGCCAGGGAGTGCAGTGGAGGATGGCCCAGGTGCTTGGGCCCTGCACCCCATGGGAGACCAGGAAAAGCACCTGGATCCTGGCTCCTGCCATCGGATCAGCGCGATGCGCCGGCCGCAGCGCACCGGCCGCGGCAGCCATTGGAGGGTGAACCAGCGGCAAAGGAAGACCTTTCTCTCTGTCTCTCTCTCTCACTGTCCACTCTGCCTGTCAAAAAATAAAAAATAAAAAAAAAAAAAAAAGAAGAAGAAGAATTCACAGGGACCATTGCCATGGCTCACTTGGTTAATCCTCCACCTGCGGCGCCGGCATCCCATATGGGCGCTGGGTTCTAGTCCCGGTTGCTCCTCTTCTAGTCCAGTTCTCTGCTGTGGCCCGGGAGGGCAGTGGAGGATGGCCCAAGTGCTTGGGCCCTGCACCTGCATGGGTGACCAGGAGGAAGCACCTGGCTCCTGGCTTCGGATTGGCGCAGCACCGCCCTTAGAGGCCATTTGGGGAGTGAACCAATGGAAGGAAGACCTTTCTCTCTGTCTCTCTCTCTCTCTCTGTGTCTATAAGTCTACCTGTCAAAAAAAAAAAAAAAGAAGAAGAAGAAGAAGAAGAAGAAGAAGAAGAAGAAGAAGAAGAAGAAGAAGAAGAATTCACCTGGGGTCCCTCTGCCCTGGGTGCAACCTCACACCTCCCTTGCCTGCGGTTTTTGAGGTCTCCAAAGAGGAGCCAGTTAAGGTTCTGGGGAACCTGTCTCCCTTCAGAGAGCCACTCTGAAATCCTTCTGTACTTTTAAAAAATATTCATTTGAGTTTTAAAAAAAATATTTATTTGAAAGATAGAGCTACTGAGAGGTTCAGGGAGGGAAAGATCTTCCATTCCCTGGTTCGCTCCCCAAATGGCTGCAATGGCTGGGATGGGCCAGGCCAAAGCCAGGAGCCTAAAACTCCATCTAGGTCTCCCACGTGGGTAGCAGGGGCCCAAGCACTCAGGCCATCTTCCACTGCTTTCCTAAGTGCATTACTAGGGAACTGGATTAGAAGTGGAGCAGCTGAGACTTGAACCGGTGCCCTTATGGGATGCCAATGCTGCAGGTGGCAGCTTTACCCGCTATGCCACAACACCGGCCTCTCTGCTCACCCTGTTAAAATAATGTGTTCAAATTTCTCCTCCATTATTTTCTTTAATGTTTTTTGTCCTTCTGGGTAAGGATACTACTTGTGTGTGTGTTTTTTGTTTTTTCTTTTCTTTTTCTTTTTTTTTTTTTTTGACAGGCAGAGTGGACAGTGAGAGAGAGAGACAGAGAAAGGTCTTCCTTTTGCTGTTGGTTCACCCTCCAACGGCCGCTGCTGCTGGAACGCTGCGGCCGGCACACCAGGGCCCAAGGACTTGGGCCATCCTCCACTGCACTCCCGGGCCACAGCAGAGAGCCGGCCTGGAAGAGGGGCAACCGGGACAGAATCCGGCACCCTGAGCAGGACTAAACCCGGTGTGCCAGCGCCGCAGGTGGAGGATTAGACTGTTGAGCCGCGGCGCCAGCCATTTCTTTACTATAATTTAGTAGAGTTTTAAGAGGAGGAGAGGTAAGTGTATGGGATTGATCTGCCATTTATGACTATGTCAAAATACCAGTAAAGAAATAATGACCAACGGCAAAGGAAGACCTTTCTCTCTGTATCTCTCTCTCACTGTCCACTCTGCCTGTCCCCACAGCAAAAAAAGCAAAATAGAATGGCCGTTGAGACAATGACTGGGCCGATGTGTGGCGTAGGGGGTAAAGCCGCTGCTCCACTTCTGATCCAGCTCTCTGCTATGGCCTGGGAAAGCAGTAGAAGATGGCCCAAGTCCTTGGAACCCTGCACCCACACAGGAAGACCCAGAGGAAGCTCCTGGCTCCTGGCTTCGGATCAGTACAGCTCAGGCAGTTGTGGCCAACTGGGGAGTGAACCATCATATGGAAGACCTCTCTCTCTCTCTCTCTCTCTCTCTCTCTGCCTCTCCTTCTCTCTCTCTCTCTCTCTGCCTCTCCTTCTCTCTCTGTATAACTCTGGCTTTCATAGTAAATAAATAAATCTTAAAAAAAAAAAAGAAAGAAGGAAGGAAGGAAGGAAAGAATGACTATGAGAGACCCAAGATAACATGAAGCTCCTATGGACCTTAAGTCGCTGAATGTGAATCTTCCTGCTGGGCGGCCCTGGAGCCAGACTGCCAGGCTCCCATGCCTGCTCCACCACTCAGCAGCTGCGTGACCTTGTCCCAGAGTCTGGAGGAATCAGCCGCTAAGTCCACCTCTGCACTCTTTGTTGGTTCACCCTCTATTCTCTCCTGTGTCTCATTTGTGCATCCAAGTCCAGGCGAGCATGCCTGAAGGGCCTGGATTCCTCCCCCACCCCCATCCCTGACCAGGGCTGTGAGTGACTGGGATCCTGTTGGTATGGGGAGGGACAATGGCTGCCCAGAACTTTTTAAATTAATAGCAACAGAAATACAAGCCACATAGAATTAAACAAGCCTGTTTTGGCTAAATTAAATAATCCATCACAAAGCAGAGTAAAGCATGCCCCAAAACAACAAGTGACAGTTTGTCCACTTGTATCTGTGCATCTGCCTATGCGTGGCTCTCATTCTCCCACAGGGGTACACGTGCTAGAGGCCACGGCCATCAGAAACTCAGAACCAGACTGAGGTCAGCAGACACTCCAAGGTTTTCTACTCTTGTATGTTTGTGGCTTTTTGAGGTCATCTAAGGTATTATTCACACACCTGAGAGCAGAGGCTGGAAGTTAGCACTTCAGTTGGAAAGATAAAGGCAGCTGTAACACAGCCGACAGAGTTCTCATCTCCTAGGAAACGGAGTGACTACAAGGAGAAGGTGAATGGAATCCAGGAGGGAAAACCTAGCACAGCAGAATGCAGGCTGTCTGAACCTTTGATCCTGCTCCACCCAGGCCAGCTTTGAAACAAGCTGAGGCGCTGGAATCTTCAGGGGCAGAAGTACTGCACCTGCATAAACAGACTTCTTGCTTCCTCCTAAACCCATCAAAAGCCGACTCTTTGTTAAAGGGGATGCTCATGTTTCTGAATTCATATTTTCCCTGTCAAAAGAGTGATTTCTTATTATTCTGGTGCCACTTGAGACAAGAGGTAAAATTCCTAGATCTATTAGGAGAAATAGCATAGTTCCAAGAAAGAAAAGAAACTAGGACATGTTAGATTCAGAGGAAGTGAACAGAAACAGAGCCTGAACCAAAATGCTGCTGACTAGAACCAGAAGGTAGCAGAAAAGAAGAAACGTGAAAAAAACAGTATGATTCCTGGAGAAACAATACTGAATCTACAGAACCTTCTGGAAAAGGAACATAGGGTGGATGGATGGATGGATGGACAGACAGACAGACAGGTAATCATGCAAAAAATTAGTCCTGGGCTCTCCACACTGGACAGTCACTCCACCAGGGAGGAGAGCTGATGAAGGGACTCAGTGTGTTTATTAGAGGGACAACCTTTGTTCCAAATACGCACCACCTCAGTTTGCAAGCTAGTGGGAGGACTTTCAAGGAGAAAGGGCAGTTGGGGGGAGGGGGGTGGGGAAGCCACAGGAAACAAAATGGGTCCTGAAATTCTTAGGCAAACGGTAAGTCAAAACACTAGTCACAGGATAAGTCACAAGAATAGCAGTTAGCTTTTGTTAGTTAAAATGTGAAAAGGAAAGGGAAGGTTAGTGTTTAGACAGATAGATAACTGATAGATGGATGATATTAGAAAGGAAGATAGAAACCGGCCTAGGTGTGTGAAAGGGGCCCAAAGAAAACAGAGCACCTGCGGAAAGGAAGGGATTGGAGCAGCCTTAGAAGCAGTTCTGTGTTTTACACTACAAAGTCCTGCCCAAGCCCCAGTCGCTGTGTGGGTGGCCCCGGCCCAGGGGAGTCCCCTCTGCCTGAAACAAGAGGGCTACCCTAAAACCTTGGGAAGAATTTCACCTATTTCACACCCACCAAACCCTCTGTCCCTGAGAAGAGGGTTGAAGGGAAGGAGAAACAGTGGGAAGAATTGGACCCCATTCTCTCTCTCTTTTTTTTTTTTTTTTTTTTGACAGGCAGAGTGAGACAGTGTGAGAGAGAGAGAGGTCTTCCTTTTTCCATTGGTTCACTCCCCAAATGGCCGCTACAGCTGGCGCTGTGCCTATCTGAAGCCAGGAGCCAGGTACTCCCTCCTGGTCTCCCATGCAGGTGTAGGGCGGGGAGTTGGGGCTTGACTGTAAGAAGTCACGTGAAGGCCGGCGCCGCGGCTCACTAGGCTAATCCTCCGCCTAGCGGCGCCGGCACACCGGGTTCTAGTCCCGGTCGGGGCGCCGGATTCTGTCCCGGTTGCCCCTCTTCCAGGCCAGCTCTCTGCTGTGGCCAGGGAGTGCAGTGGAGGATGGCCCAAGTGCTTGGGCCCTGCACCCCATGGGAGACCAGGAGAAGCACCTGGCTCCTGGCTTCTGCCCTCGGATCAGCGCGGGCCCCGGCAGCGCGCCGGCCGCGTGGCCAGTGGGCCATTGAACGGTAAACAAACGGCAAAGGAGAACCTTCTCTCTGTCTCTTCTCTCTCTCCACTGTCCACTTCTGCCTGTTAAAAACAAAAAAAAAAAAAAAAAGAAGTCACATGAAGTAGTGATGGAGTAGCTCTGTATCTTGAAACAAGTAACGCTTACAGGAATCTACACAGATGACAACATGGCACAGAATTATACACACGCCTTGTACCAACATCCGTTTCCTCATTTTACTACTGTACAAGGGCTCTTCAAGAAGTTCACGGAAAATGTGTTATGAAAAAGCTTTTCATGGATTTGAAAAAGTTTTTGCACCAAAAGGAACTTGTGCTTTAATTCCATTTCCATGAACTTTTAAAATATTTCATATTTTAGTTATACGAGGTAGAAACATTGTGGAAAACTGGGGGAAGGGTACAAAGGACCTCCCTCCTATTTTTGTAGCTTCCTGTGAATTTTTAATTATTCTTAAATGAAAGTTTTTACAAAGCAGCCAGGAACAAAAATTATATTACTGATTAAGAAATAAAATTTGTGATAGTGCCTGCATTGTGGCACAGCAGGCTAAGCTGCTGCCTAAGATGCCAGTATCCCATATCACCCATGGTTTGAGTCCCAGCTGCCCCACTTCCAGTCCAGCTCTCTTTCTAATGTGCCTGGGAAGGCAACAGAAGATGGCCCAAGAGTTTGGGTCCATGCACCCCAGATGGAGTTTCTAGCTTCTTGCTCCTGGCTTTGGCCTGGCCCCAGTCTAGGCTGTGGCAACCATTTGGGGAGTGAACCGCAGATGCAATATTTCTCTCTTTCTCTCTCTCTCTGTAACTCTCTCTTTCAAATAGAATAAATAAATCTTACAAAAAATAATGTGTGTGAAAGATGATTCCTCAACAGTGACAAAGTCAGGAAATAGCGAGATGGAATCTTCAGTATGCTGAGACAACTATTAATCTAGGACCGTATGCCCATGGAAACTCTTGGAAGAATCAAAGTGAATTAAAGATACGTTCTGTCGGTTATGTCCCATCAGCCTTTTGGTGCCACACTCCATTCTCTTCCTGGGTGCTACCTACAGAGGTGGCAGCCCTCTACTTGGCATCGTGGCTGCCCTCAGATCCCTGGTGAAGCCCAGGATCATCAAAAAGAGGACCAAGAGGTTCATCCAGCAGCAGTCAGACTGATTTGTCAGATTAAATGTAGCTGGTGGGTAGGGCCGGTGCCGCGGCTCACTAGGCTAATCCTCCACCTTTCGGTGCCAGCACACCGGGTTCTAGTCCCGGTTGGGGCGCCGGATTCTGTCCCGGTTGCCCCTCTTCCAGGCCAGCTCTCTGCTGTGGCCAGGGAGTGCAGCAGAGGATGGCCCAAGTGCTTGGGCCCTGCACCCCATGGGAGACCAGGAGAAGTACCTGGCTCCTGGCTTCGGATCAGCGCGGTGCGCCGGCTGCAGGGCACCGGCCGCAGCGGCCATTGGAGGGTGAACCAATGGGAAAAGGAAGACCTTTCTCTCTTTCTCTCTCACTATCCACTCTGCCTGTCAAAAAAAAAAAAGTAGCTGGTGGGAACCGTGAGGTATTTGACAACAAGATGTGCAGAAGGTTCAAGGGCCAGATCTTAATGCCCAGGATTAGTTACAGAACAACAAGAAAGCCCATGCTGCCCAGTGAAGTTCCCAGGCCACAGTGGCAAGGAGCTGGAGGCGCTGCTGATGTGTACAAACCTTTCTGTGGGGAGATTGCTCACAGTGTTCCCTCCAGGAACCGCAAAGCCAGTGAGGAGAGAGCAGCGTGTGAGGAGAGAGCGGCCCAGCTGCCCATCAGAGCTTCCAATCCCAGTGCCAGGCTGCACAGCAAAGAAAACGAATAGACAGCTTGGGTGCACGTTTTATTTGTGTTTAAATAAAACCTTGAAAGCTAAAACAGATACATTCTGTCAAACAGAAACGATCTCTTTAATACTAAATAACTAATAACTAATAGTTGCATTTCAGGGAGAATCAAAAGACCTCATAGAGGTCTAAGATATAAGAAGAAATGGTTAGCAAATAACTCAATCAAATTATCAGTAAACCTAAATATTGTTCAACTTTTCAGGACAAATAGAAATAGGGTACATAATCTCAAAACAACTAGATGGGTAAAAATAAAGTGAAGGGGAAAAAGCAGAATGAATCTTTTAAAGTATAAGGGACGGGAATAGGAGATATTTAGCCTAGTGGTTAAGATGCCGTGCTCCACATCAGAGTATCTGAGTTTGATTCCTACCTCTAGCTCCTGGCTCCAGCTTCCTGCTAATGTAGACCCTGGGAGGCAGTGATGATCGCTCAGGTAACTGGGCTCCTGCTACCCACACGGGACACCTGGTTAGCATTCCAGCTCCCAGCTTCAGCCTTGGCCCAGACCTGGCTGCTGTGGACATTTTGGAAGTGGATGAGCAGATGAGACATCTTTCCGTGTTTGTGTGTCTATCTGTTTCTCTTCTCTCTCAAATCAGTAAATAAAATTCTTACAAATAAATGAAATACAAGAAAGGATAAAAGAAACAAAAAAGAAAAATAGGGTAACAGAAACTATACAATAGGTAATAGAAATACATTTGAATGTAATTCTAAATAGTATAAATTCAGTTTTGAAGAAAAATTGGTTTCAGAAATTAAAAAAGAAGCCATTTGCAGGAGACATACCTCAAACATAAGGCACGAGGAGTTGAAAATGAAAGGATGTGGGGGACGCTTCAACAGAAAAATAGGACATATGATATATTAATGTCAGACAAAACAGACATGAAGGTGAAACTAAACGTACAGATATCCTGTCAACGTAAAGGAGAAATCTCTAAGGGAACAGTAACGAAAGTGGAATAGTGACCTCTGAAGTCAGGGAATTCACATTCTGTGGGAAGTTCAAATGTGGGCTGAGGACTATTTGGAGGGGATGTCAGGAAGGGTATTAAGACACCAGAGAACTAGGACCCAACGATCATACAGTTTCTCACGGTCATGAAAAGCCTAATCTTTTATCCCATTTTTTCCATTGTCTTTCAAATGTTAAGAGCTTGTAAGACTTCAAATTTATACATTTAGATGTATGGTTGCTTACTATGAAATTTTAAATGCACATTTATGTCTGCAAAAATATACCAGACAATTGTTTTCTTCTCTAATTACACACAATATGCTATTTCCCTGTAGCCTGTTGAAATTTCATTCTTTCATGACTAGAAGCTTTTCCAACCAGCCAGACACTAGAAAGAAAGCTCTGACATTGCCTTCTGATAATGAACTC